ATAAACTTCGTTAGGATCGACTGGGTGATTCCTATCGACAAGGTGTGCCAGAACGGAACTCGAGATCGATATAGTTTCTTATTTACTTAGCCAAGCCGGTATGGGTTCAATTACCCTGTTTTCCAGGTGCCTCGTGGTTTGGTCAATATATCCTGCTCCATAGGAATAACTGTAAAGAGTTATTGTACACGGCTGTGGCCTTTAACGGCAGTCCGTCTTTACCTCTCAAACGTAGGAGGGGAGAGTTCGTGATGAATACGCGTAGGTCAATCGCGGGAAAGTGTTTGCAATCACTGCGTTCAGACGTCGACGTACCAGCTCACCTGTTGCAATGCTTAAGAGAGCCAGTTTTTGAATACGTCATTCTTCTCTGTGCTGAAGTTTGCACACACTTTGTTGCGTTCGAAAATGTTCCTGAGGATGAACCTTTTAGAGTATCCGTTTAAAGACAATATCGACAGTTTCATAGGAGCAGATCCGTCGTTTTCTGGCTGTCAATGCCTTCGCTAAATTTGGTTGTTAAATTTAGGGGAACAAAACTGTGAAATTTTATGGATTGCCCCGTCCAGGTTTTCTTTCCGAATACCATGCGCTAGATAGATTCATTCTTTTGCCTTAGAAGAATGACACCAAAGAACTTGATTTCATTATTTACCATAAACTCTGCGGAAAATTTGAGCTATGGTAGCACATTATTAAACCTGCGGACCAGGGCGTTGCTGTCAGTGTTATGGTCTTTGAAACAAAAGATGTCATTTACATATCGACCGTAAAATTTGGGGTCATCCTTGATAGTCCTTAGAATCCTCTTCTCGATCATACCCATGAAAAAAATTTCATAGAAACGGTCAAAGCAGTGCGCCAATCACCACACCATTTATCTGTCAGTAGAACGGACCAGCATAGAGAAAGTTCACATTTTGTATGGACCATGTAAGTAGTTTATTAAGGGTTTTTATGGGCATATTTATCTGTGAGTTCCTGTCCCGACTAAATTCACAGAAGTAGTTTATGGTTAATACCATGGGCACGTTGATGTTAAGATCTCCAAGGAAAGCAGCTTCCTTCCCCTAAAGTTAATTTTCTTCAGGGCATCGACAAACTCAACGGTGTATTTCAAACTTTGAGGATATAGGTACCTTTCAAGCGGCTTAAGCTTTTCTGGCAACCATTTAGTATGGTGAGATACAGAGAAATGCTGATATCCAAGATTGAATACATGGGCAGACTCCGTTTGGTCATTTTGAGAGGCCGTACATTCTGGGTTTATTTATCTATTCTCATTTATTTTTGACGCCCTTAAAAATTCAGATACCTTTTCTGGAAAGAGCGCAGGAAAAAACATGTTCACCTATTTAGCAGAACATCATTTCCTAACCATCTTTCATACTTAAAAAAGGGGATTCTTCAATTTTAAGGAAAAAACTGGTAATTATTTATTTTTTTATGATCGTGAAATATTAATTAAGCAGACATCGTACCATTTGCCTTATAAATTCTGCTTGGAGAATGTACTATTTGGCCCACAGTTACTGCAAAAATGTAAGAGTACAATATTACTTTTTTCCTATAGCATAGAAACTTTTTTATCTGTTCTTGGACGGAGTGTATGGCTGCTTGCAGCTATCGCGGCGCGCTAAAAGCCGTCGCTTGGAGGGTTGCCAAATGACAAGGTATCTCGGACTTCACCGACAGCCCAGTGTGTCTTGTTGTGTGGAGTGGTTTATTGCGGGCTGAGTGTCAGGCTCAATGGCTCCTTCTTAATGTGGCCTTTATGGCGCTTCCAGTTGGGAGCCTACCTAGCAAGGTGGTCTTGTTTTGGCGCGTGTTGCACTGTGTTCCCGCACACCGCCTGTGTCCTCCCCCATCTCCGATCTTCTGGACCTTTTTCTTTACATCGGGTTCAGGTGTCGGAGTAGTCAAAGAGTGGGGTAGATCCTCCGCCGGTCTTCTTTCACTATAATTCCGCGGGATTCATCGCGTTGCTTAGGCTGCTGAAGCTCGTGGTGGAAATAATCGAGAACGACGATCGAACTATCGTATGGGTGCTTGTAAAGTATACAACAAGTTTCTTATCCACCACAAAACTATTTAAGGATTTAATGGCGTCCTCCTACCAGTGTATGTAAAATTTTAAATTTTCTTACACAAAACATCTCAAAATTCTAGCTTGAAAGCCCAGAATTGAGGTCGGATTGAAAATTTTTTGGAGAGTAAGAAAGTTTTTGAAACCTAAGTAGATCATTTCTTCAGGTTGACCATTTGAAGAAGAAGAAGTAATTTGCTTGCAACTGCGTACTTCACGGCTTTTTACGATTGGTTTTCTCAAACCTCTTTACAGTAATTTTTAACTATCCATTATCCAGAAATAAGCAATTCGTTTTTGCAGCAACCATTTTCTCACTTGACTTGTGCATCTAGTAAATCAAAAATCCGTTTGAGAAGTTTTAAATCTGGCTGTCAGAGCAAAGGAATTCTCAGTTCTTTAATTTTAGGGTACAACAGACGGCACCCTAGCAGAAAATGTCGCCAAAACCGTCTTACTGACTCGAATTCGAATCCCGAATCCCCCTGCAGGGCAGCGGATGGAGGAGGCAGGAGTGGAATAGGGCGTAGTTTTGGCAGTGAACGTTTCGGTCTCGTGTAAACAAGCCATTCACCCCTGGACGCGCAGTATGGTCTTATGATGAGCGGCCGTATTTACTACTGTGTCCAAAATGGACCGGTGAATAAAGAATGATGGCACGCGCATACACACTGTTTTTTCCGTTACCTGACCAATGAGCAGCTGATGCGAGCAAGGCCAATGAGTACGAACGGAAGTATAAATACCAGCGCTTGCGAGGTAAATAACTGAAATTACCAGCCCACAAGATGCCCAGGTAACTTTCCAGCACACCCCTAACTCTGTTTTCAGCCGTAGCGAAATCCAAGCCCTGTTGGACAGCCTCGACTCCGACAAGTCGGGCTCCGTGAGCACGAAGGAATTCCTCAGTGCCCTCTCTGGATCCGGCATCAAGGAGTCCGATGTGCAGGAGTTCATCAGCCAGCATGACAAGGACGGCGACGGCGAGCTGAATGTGGAGGAGCTCAGCCAATTCCTGTGCTCATTGTAGAGCCCCCTTTTGCCAATTTTCTGGAGGAAACGCAAATAAACTCCTATGTCTAAATTCGTACTTCTTCTTCTTGCCGCCTTACAGAGAAGATATGAGGGCATCCGTTCTATGTAGGTCTAAAAGGTGTCCTAACGGCGGTAGTCTTGTCTAGGATGCATTGCATTAAGAAAATGACGGTTGAGCTTAGCTATGTTCATAAACAGACTATCGTTCAGTTAAAGCATGTTGCACCATGTTTTTGGTAGAGGTAAGTTGTTGACCTAACTTAGATACTCTGTGCCCTGAAATTATGCCTTACGGGACCGGCAGTTTTATTTTAGTTTAGTTTTTAGTTAATTACTTGGTGGTATCTAACCAAACTAAAAACCAAATTAAACTAAAACTAAGAAAACTAAAAGTAACTAAAGGAATAGAGGCTAAGGGTACCTAAGATACCCACAGAACATAAAGCATCACGATGAATAGATAACTGAGAACTCTTTTTGCAATTGTGACACAAATTATAACGTGCCTTCGGCATTTGTATTTAGGCCAAACATTAACTAAAAACACACGCAACGGAAAATTCTCCCTTCCGATATCACAGTTTTGCTAAGGTTTGAATGTCAGCCACTCCACATGTTTATATGTTATGTATGTTATGTTTATATGTATGTAGGTGTTACTCGGTATAGCAGAGAAAAGAAATTAAGTAGCAAAAAGGTAAATTTCTTATGAGTTTTGGAGAACAACGAACCAACATTTAGGTTTTATTAGGAGGTTTGGCAGACTTGCTTAATTTGAGTTGACCCAATCGTGAAAAATCTCGAGGCATTCGGCGGGATTTGAACCCGCGTATTAGAGAAGGCCTTTACCG